CTCCCCTGGGACGCTCACAGACCCTCCTCGGGGGCACCCTCATCCCCTCCCTGGGGACACCCCTGTCCCCTCCCTGGGGACACCCCTGTCCCCTCGCTAGGGACACCCCTGTCCCCTCCCTAGGGGCACCCCCGTCCCCTCCCTAGGGACACCCTGTCTTCTCCCCTGGGACACCCCCGTCCCCTTCCTAGGGGCACCCCTTCCCCTCCCTGGGGACACCCCTGTCCCTTCACCTAGGACATCCCTGTCCCCTCCCCAGGGGCACCCACGTTCCCTCCCCGGGGACACCCCTGTTCCCTCCCCAGGGACAACCCTGTCCCCTCCCTGGGGACACCCCCATCCCCTCCCTAGGGACACCCTGGTCCCCTCCCCTGGGGACACCCCTGTCCCCTCCCTAGGGACACCCCATCTTCTCCCCTGGGACACCCCCATCCCCTCCCCTATGACACCCCTGTCCCCTCCCGGGGGACACCCCTGTCCTCTCCCCTGGGGACATCCCCTCCCTAGGGACACCCCCATCCCCTCCCCTATGACACCCCTGTCCCCTCCCGGGGGACACCCCTGTCCTCTCCCCTGGGGACATCCCCTCCCTAGGGACACCCCCATCCCCTACCTGGCGACACCCATGTCCCCTCCCTGGGGACATCTCTGTCCCCTCCCCAGGGCCACCCCTGTCCCCTCCCTGGGGATACCCACAGCCCTTCCCATGGGGTCACAGTGTCCCTTTGTCCCTTTTAGAGGGTCCCAGTTGTCCCCTCCACCAGGGTCCCTCTGTCCCCTCCAAGGGGTCCATGTGTCCCTCCTGAGAGGGTCCCATCGTCCCCTCCCACAGGGTCCCCATGTCCCCTCCCAACAGCATCCTATCACCCCCTCCAATGGTGTCCCCAAGGCCCCTCAAAAAGGATCAATGTGTCACCTCGGAGAGGGTCCTGGTGTCCCCTCCCATGGGGTCCCAATGTCCCTTCCCATGGGTTTCCCTGTCCTCTCCAACAGTGTCCCCATGTCCCCTCCACCGGGCTTCCATCACCCCCAGTGTCCCCATGTCCCCTCCACCGGGCTTCCATCACCCCCAGTGTCCCCTCCGGGATGGGGGCAAGGGGTCTGGAGCCTTCCCTTTTGGGGGAGGGTGGGGGGGGGTGTGACACAAGGGGTGGCACTGCTGTGGCACCGGGTGACACGAGTGTCCCCAGAGCAAGGAGGAGGTGATGGCGGGGGGGGTGGGCGGGGCCGCCCGCCCGCACCCGCAGAGGGAGGAGGGCATGATCCAGGGGCAGCTCAACCACTCGGACGCCACCCAGTACATCCGCCAGCTCAAGGACCACATCGACGAGCTCAAGGCCGAGGTAAGGCACCCATGGGTGCTGCGGCACCCACGTCCTGCACCCACGGGTGCTGGGGGACCCACATCCTGTACCCACGGGTGCTGGGGGACCCCTACCCTGCACCCACGGGTGCTGGGGGACCCACATCCTGTGCCCATGGGTGCTAGGGGACCCCTACCCTGCATCCATGGGTGCTGCAGGACCCGTACCCTGCACCCACGGGTGCGGGGGACCCAGATCCTGCACCCATGGGTGCTGAGGGAACCTGTACCCTGCACCCATGGGTGCTGAGGGACTCAGATCCTGCACCCACGGGTGCTGAGGGAACCTGTACCCTGCACCCATGGGTGCTGAGGACCTATGCCATGTACCCACGGGTGCTGGGGGACATGTACCCTGTACCCATGGGTGCTGCAGGACCCGTACCCTGCACCTATGGGTGCTGGGGACCTGTACCCTGTACTCATGGGTGCTGGGGGACTCAGATCCTGCACCCATGGGTGCTGGGGACCTGTACCCTGTACTCATGGGTGCTGGGGGACTCAGATCCTGCACCCATGGGTGCTGAGGGACCCACATCCTGCACCCATGGGTGCAGGGAGAAACATACCCTGCACCCACGGATGCTGCGGGGACCCGCATCCTGCACCCATGGGTGCAGGGGGACTCAGATCCTGCACCTACGGGTGCTGGGGGACCCACATCCTGCACCCATGGATTCTGGGGGACCCACACCCTGCACCCATGGGTGCTGGGGGACCCACATCCTGCACCCATGGGTGCTGAGGGGGACCCCTACCCTGCACTCATGGATTCTGGGGGACCCACATCCTGCACCCATGGGTGCTGAGGGGGACCCCTACCCGGCACCCATGGATTCGGGGGGACCCACATCCTGCACCCATGGGTGCTGGGAGACCCCATACAGGGCCTGGCAGCCGTGCAGAGCTCGGGGTCCCTCCCCCGGGTCCCCAAGGCTGGGACACGTCGGGGAGCGTCCCCAAGCGGGGCTGCGCCGGGTGCTGGGTGCTGGCGCCCTCCCCCCTCGGAGCCATCGGCGATGTCCCCGCAGGGCCACGTGGCACGGGGACAGCTGGTGACAATGTCTCCCCGTCTCTCCTCCCTCCTCCCCTTCTCTGCTGTCCCTTGTCCCCTCGTGTCCCCTCTCCCGTCCCTTTGTCCCCTTCTCTCCCCCACCCCTCTGCCCATCTTGTCCCCCACCCATCCCCTGGCCCTTCCTTGTCCCCTTGTCCCTTGTCCCCTTGTCCCTTGTCCCTGTCCTTGTCCCCTTGTCCCCTTGTCCCTGTCACCTTGTCCCCTGGTCGCTGTCCTTGTCCCCTTGTCCCTTGTCCCTGTCACCTTGTCCCCTGGTCGCTGTCCTTGTCCCCTTGCCCCTTGTCCCTGTCACTTGTCCCCTTGTCCCCTTGTCCCTTCTCCCCTTGTCCCTGTCACCTTGACCCTTATCCCTTGTCCCCTTGTCCCTTATCCCTTTGTCCCTGTCCCCTTGTCCCCTTGTCCCCTTGTCCCTTGTCCCTGTCCTTGTCCCCTGTCACCTTGTCCCCATCCCTATCCCCTTGTTCCCTGTCCCCTTATCTTCTGTCCCCTTGTCCCCCATTTTCCATCCTGTCCCCATGTCCCCTTGTCCCCATCCTCTTGTCCCATCACTCATCATGGTCCCACGTCCCTTGTCCCCATCCTTCTCCCCTTCTCCCCGTCCCTGTCCTCGTCCCCTGTCCCGTTGTCCCCATCCCTCTCCCCTTGTTCCCTGTCCCCTTAATCCCGTGTCCCCTTGTGCCCCGTCCCCCACGCTGCCCCCTCGTCCCCCATCCCCTTGTCCCATCACCCATGTCCCCTTGTCTCCATCCCCTTGTCCCCTCCCCTCC